ACCAGTGATCTCCCTAATACGTGGCGACATCTCTGCACCGAGTCCATCTGGATGATGTCCGGAGCACATTACTAGTGCACATACTTTGTGTAATGTAACTGTCGAACTCAGTAATACACTCACTACTGCGAAGAACTGTGCACATTGTTCGGTCGCTCTGCGTCCCGGTAAGTCATGTTTTGAATGGCAGAGACAGGTCATCATATTGCCAAGCCGGAATCAGTTATGTTGCAGAATTGAGTTATGGAAGACCGAATGTTCAAAAGTTCAGGTGGTTGTTGAGATTCATAAAAATAAAATATATGAATATGCAAGAAGAATTCGAGAACAATAACATCATCACAAGATATAAAACTGATTTATATATAAGGTATCGCAACAAGGAAAAGATGCATAACATAACGTTTTGTGTGCTATATCATTTCGTGTTTCACTAAAACTGACTCAGGATAGTATTAAGTTCCAATTTACTGAGACTCCTCTTTCGTTTGCCAAGTCTACACAGTTTCACATCTGAGGAATCAGTGACTTTCTGTTGTTCGATATAAAAGCTTCTGTTTCTCACGCGCTTTTCGAACGGGAAGTTTAGTCCTAACGTGATTTGCATTTATCAAACTTTTGCTGTGTTCTTACGCAACAAAAGTACCATTTCAGTTCTAAAGAATCTATCCTGAGCTATACGTTCGGTAGATTACTTTTTGAGTTTTACCATATTTATTAGTTAACTGTGGTTTTGCCTCAACTTACTATTCGTTTTTTGTTTTTCACGTAAAGACTAATTCAGTTTATCTCACTCGTTTTCATCCGTTTTTATCCATTTTTGTTCGTTTTCAGTGTGCTTTTTAGTGTATTTTTACGGTCATAGGCTTTTGCAAGCATCAATAACATAGTTTGCTTCAACATAGTCATGAAAAACTCATGCAAACGTCCGGGATGCCGTTTCGCTGTTACAACTGGCATGCAGTGCGACAACTGCAAAGGTTGGTTCCACGAAGCATGCACAGATCTGACGGCAACTGCTTACAACAGATTCAGCAAGTCGGACCAAAAGTGGATAGTGTCACGCGCAGCACGGACGCTGTAGTTTTGCTGAGTAACATCATCGTCCTACGGACAGGTCTGCGGAACAGTTTGTCAGCGAACTTGGATAACGACAGTAAAAAACGGGCAAACAAACAAGACCGCGCCATGAGCACAAGATTAGGGATGTTAACAGGTATACCATCGATGGAGCATCCATTAACACTAATGATAACGTGTTGAAGCTCAGCACCATCATTACGTCGACGGTACTAGACTCACTAAGTAAACTCGGGTCTCCCAGCTGAGGGTCCCTGGACACAACAGTGGTTCCCAAAAACCCTGCAGGTGGTTCGACCCACGTTAGTAGAGCCCAAAAGAACCAGGTGTTATCACCTAAGCTGAGCATCCCAAGTGTTGTTGTACGGAAAACAACTGGTGATTTGGTCGCACAGTCTACTCCCAAGAATGTTCGTCCGAACATCAAAGAGCCCAAAATTCAAAAACGTGCCTTGACCTCCAAACAACGAGGTATTAAACCTGAACCCATCGGGAAACCTGGTAAATCAACAACAGTTCGTGACGATTCTCTCATAATCATGAATCTCATTGACAATCCTGACCGTCCTCTTAGTCTGTAGGACAAAAATGATAGGATGCTCTGGGGTGAACTGAACAAGAAGCGCAAACTTCCCAGAATAAAGCCTTTGACGGTCATCCGGCTCACTCGAGGAAAGGATTCTAAGCATCTAAATCACCCGGGGCTACTTCGTGGAACCCTTAAGAATGCTACCGACGTAGAGGACGTCTTGCTAGCCAGTCACATGCTGAAATCGGATATCTGATATATTTTCTTAGTTCTCGGACAAAGAGTTAGCATTACCTGAGATGTCTTTGTTTTGCAACAACAGAAAATCAGGAATTGCGGGTGGAGTAACCCTATACACATGTTCTTGCTTGGAGGTGCATCAAGTTCATAACCTGGAGTTCAACAATCTTGAGGAATCCATATGGTGCTCTGTAAGACTGTCCAGTACTTCGAGGTGTCTAGTCGGAGTCATTTACAGGAAGCCAACTGCCGACATCGAGTACGATAGTCGTATGCTGGAAGGGCTATCCCGTTCTACTCGTCTCGGCTTCACACACATCCTGATTCTAGGGGACTTTAATCTCCCTAGAGTCGACTTCGTGGATCACACGTATACTGGAGGCGACAACTCAATTGAAGCTCGGTTCTTCAGCCTCATCGACGACTTGGGATTATACGAAAATGTGAGGTCGGGAACTCGTTGGAGAAACAGTCAGACACCATCGCGCTTAGACTGTGTATTCACAAACGAAGAATTTCTAGTTGACAACCTCTCAATCCTGGCTCCCTTGGGAAAAAGCGATCATGCCGTCATAGCCTTCAGTTTTGTCAGCAAAACTAAGCTAAGCTATTCCACCAATAACTTGCATTGGAATTTTAAACGGTTGAATGTGCCAGCTCTACATGACTATCTACAACAGGTGGATTGGGATGTTCACCCTCAACTCGATGTGGACGGTCATTGGGACTTCTTACTGCACACGCTCATATGTGCTACAAACCATTCAGTTCCTCAAACAGTTCCCAAAAGCTGCAATCCACCTACAATAATCAAGAACCGTACCTTTCGCCTGCTAAGCAGCAAAAGGCACTGTTGGGCGGAATACAAACGAACTGACAATGACGGAGCGTACAGGCAATATAAACATATAAGTGGCATATGCACGAAGGCTATAAGAGAAGACAGGCTTCAGTATCAGAAAAAGTTTATGGACAAATTCGCCTCTAATCCTAAAAGCTTATTCCGTTATGCAGCCACTCTTCAACAAGCCAAAACTGGAGTTTCTCAACTAGTAGGTCTTAACGGCCCGACCAACAACGATGGCGACGCATCTAACTTTCTGGCTGAACGTTACTCTCAGACATTTCAACCGACCGACATCAAATTTACTGATGACAGTTTCATCTGCGATCCCATAGGACTCTCCGAAGTGGACCTAAGCGCTGATTTGGTATTCCGGAAACTGCAGCGCTTAAGACTAGACATTTCTCCTGGCCAGGATATGGTCCATTCTGCCATACTGAGGGAAGCAGCCTCAATCCTGGCGACACCGCTTAGCGTGATGGTCTCACACTCGCTAAGGCGAAGCAAACTACCGGAAAATTGGAAGTTGGCTCACATCACATCAATTTTCGAAAGAGGTGGACGCAATGAACCTTCAAGTTATCGACCGGTGGCTCTTCTGTCATTACCTTCAAAGCTCATGGAGTCCCTTATATGCTATCGTTCATACGACTATCTATTGTTCTTAAATTTCTTCTCACCCCAACAGCATGGTTTCAGGAGGGGCTACTCTTGTATAACCAACGTGCTGACTGCGGTGGACAGATGGACAAGCATCCTCGATCGCAAGGGAAAGGTTGGTATCATTTACCTTGATTACTCAAAAGCTTTTGATAAGGTTAACCATTTATGTCTTATCATTAAGTTCAAACGACTAGGTATCAGACCACCTCTAATCGCTTGGTTTACTTCATACCTGAAAAATCGACACTTTAAGGTTAGGGTTAATTTCACTTTATCTCAGGCTGTGGAATGTCCTAGTGGGGTCCTCCAGGGCTCAGTACTTGGACCTCTTCTCTTATTGATCTACATAAATGATCTTCCTCAGCAGGCAACGTCAGAATTGTTACTCTTTGCCGATGATGCTAAATTTTCTCTTTTTTCTCCTTCAGAATCTTGCTCTGAGAGCACAGCTATGAAACTTCTGAGGTTTGAAGTAAACTTGACGTACGCGTCCTCTCAAGGTCATAGTCTACTGCAAGCGCTCTACGATTTCACTTTATAACAACTATAAACCTTATAAGTTGGGAAGCATTTTGCTAACCAACAAATGTTGTAATTTATAGATCATGCCTGTAAAAACGGTGTGTACCTGCACATGCAGAAATATATTATTATTATTATTATTATACGCAATCGTGACCATATACAGGCACTTCAGGAGGATCTGACTCGACTCCAAAATTGGGCATATAATAATGGACTTGCTTTTAACACTTCAAAGTGTAAAGTAGTCCATCTGCGACATGTCGCAGACTACAGTTATAACTTATGTACCTCCTCGCTTGTAGTATCCAAAGTCGAAAAAGATTTAGGAGTCCTGGTGCCCTACGATTTAAAGTCTTACGCTAACTGTGACAAAAATGCCTTCCGAGCAAACCTTGCACTGGTAACATTGAAGCGCACTTTTGACCAGTTTAACACTTTTGGACATCCTCTTAAACACCTATTTAAGCTTAGTTCGAACACTAACCTAAGAGGTAACACCCAGAAACTGGAGACACGACATAGCAAGACGGAATGTAGACATAACTTCCATTCCTTAAGAGTTGCCAAGTGCTGGATTTTGCTGCCGGCCGAGTTAGCCCAAGCGACTTCCTAGGAGTCCTCCAAGATGCAACTTGACCTATTCTTAAGGACCAAGGACAGCATCATACTATGATTTACCAGTTTCTTTTTCCTTTTTTATTGTTAACATACCTAGGTTCCTGCCTGGAGGATTTGGTGATCCCCTGCTACTAGACAGGGAGGCCTGTTAACGAAAGCTTCTTCTATTCCGTCCATAACCATTTGAACCATTTGAACTCTCTGAATCCTTATAACTATTTGAACAGAGTTCAGTTTTGGGAATTCTTGACACTTTTGAAAAGAAGTTGAAACTCTACAATACTATGAGCTTTGATGATTTCAACCTTCTCCGATCATAAGTAATCCTTCTCTTATCTTTTGTTTTTCTAACTATTTTAGAATACCGCGATGTATGAGCGTCTTAATGATGGCTGTTTATGAAGAACTTGACTTATGTTTACGATAACTTAGTAGGAATTTTATTCATTGGAGTATACTTACTGGATATACGTCTTATAAAACCCTAAAGTTTACGAGGAAATGGCTGATCTAGAAGCTGTTCTAGCGGACGTCAGCTATTTGATGGCTATGGAGATGAGTAAATCCACTCCAGCGGCTCGTGCGAGCAAAAGAATTACCTTACCCGACCCCAGGTGAATTTTTTTTCTAGTTTTGGTCTTAACGTTCATTGATTGTTTCATCTCGGCATATCATTCACTTTGTTCAACTAACAGAACATCTCAAATCAGTTAGATAATATAAATAATCGTCATAATACCATTTTAATTAATTAATTTTTGTTAGTGCGAAATTGTGGCTATGAAATATCTACAGTTTGAAAACATAAGATTCTGATGTAACATCAGAGATCAGTGTTGAGACTGTAATCGCCTAGTAAGACGATGATAGATCCGCAAACTACCCATGGAATGAGTGTTACTGTTTTTGCTATTCCGTATCAACTGCTATAAATGGGGCTGTATAGATTTTACTTAAGGAAGTACATAGCAATTGTGTGATTCCCATGTTTTTTCTCTACTATGTGGGGAACACATTTCGTTTTCTCAAAACGAAAGCATATTGTTGAAGGTTTTGATTGATTTGGGAAGCAAGCAGTAATGGAGTAAGTAAAATATAGCCTTTTGGTACGTGTTAATCAAGCACAAAGTCATGCCTTCCAATTTGAATTAGATGGTACTATTCATGCCGAAGTCGATAACACATGAAAAGTAATCAGATCCTTACATTAGAAGCAAAAGGTGTGTAAAACTATAACTACTTAATTACCTGATAATTTGACTTGAGTAATTGTGTTAGAGTCTAGTGCCTAGGCCTCTGTAGGAGAATTTTAACTTAAGCTTCATATTGTGATTGAGGTAGCTATAAGATGTCATTACTTCACGATTTTATGTACGTGTTACTCGGAGTCGCGTATCACAAATATTTTGTATAAAACCTGATCTCATTCAGTTGTGGATATAAAAAGCAAGATATGTAGAGTTCCAAGGCTAAATAATTATAGCGTTGAAGTATACTTTGGGAACAGTACAGTTAATTGTTTTTTTTTTTGGCTCAAGAGTATTCACTAAGTTATAGTTCGTCATTTAAGTGTATTAATTTTGCTTTGGTTATTTATTTGTTTAGTTAAACAAAAACATTGATGCAAGGTGGAACCAAATATATATGCCACACACTTCACCATCTAATTCGTGTGAGGACTGGGATACTGCCCGGAAGCCCACACCGAAGCTTTTGTTTTTAAGTTGTAATGTTCACTTCTGGTGCTAATAGTTCGCAAATGCTTTACTTGGTCATGAAACCGGGAAAATCGATTTAGTAATCTTGTTGCTCATATGTCACTTAGGGCTTGCATATTATACGAATATTTATTTTCTGTATTGCGTCAGAGGGTATAACAACCTATGATGATACCATTATTTACGTTAAATAAATTTAATTACTCCAATATAAGCCCAGATGAGAAATACACCTTTCAAGATTAGCTTAGATCAACGAGTCATCAGGAGTTCTGTAAATCCTACCTTCCAATGATCTTTTGTTAAGTCTAGTACTTTTTACTGTTTGAAAATGAGAATGCTTGCTCTTCACATAGATTTTGATACGGTAGTTGTAAAAACAGGCTACTAAAATATCTTGAACCCAAGTGACTCAGTTTTGTTTGTTCTTGTTTTCCTTTGTTCTCAGTTTTTTACCTTGCTATTATTATAGTTTTATTGCTTTCATTGCACTGAATGTGTCTAAAAATAAGTACAGTTTGAACACGTAATATTTTTGTATTTCACAAGCATATATGTTTGGCACAGGAAGCAGACTAAACCATGTCAAGATTTACAAACTGTTTGAATTACCCGTTAGAGAATACGAGTTTGCGGTACCGTATTTCAACGTGGTCACATTTTCCGATCCCACTCCACTAACTAGAGTCTAAACAACTGTATATTATCATTGTAGACTACAAAATACGTGTCGTAGAATTTAGTTACATCACTATTGGTACTCGTTAATCTTCGTACTACATATGTTCGTGATCAATATGCGGTCAATATGTTACATTGCAATAGTGAGGCTTGATAGGTTTGAAAAATCTCACCATTTGCAGTTCCAAAATAGGTACGTGGTTGTGTGAATTTAACCTGAAGAAGGACATTTTTATTTCGATTACATTGATGTACCGCGCGATTATACACAGGCTACCCAAGTTCCACTTATTCAGTGGACAATAAGTGTCCATTAGTACGCTGTGTATTTTCGTTTTCGAAATCCAAATTCTGGAGAACTATCAGGGGTATGTGACTGCACCCACGCTTTGTAGTGAACCGTCTTAAGTAATGTAAAAGTTCGCACATGAGCAGTTGCACAGGTACTCATAATAGTGTAAGATCGGTCTATGTAAGTGAAAGCTAGAGCAACTCATGGTGATCTGGAGCATCTCTGGAGCCATTTTAATGTTAACTGAACAGCTGTTATCGTTGCTCACTCATCTGTATAGAAAAGTTTTAAAAACTGATGAAGATACATCAAAAGGGGCTACACGAATGACGCAATAGCTTCTAAAACGTTAAACTCAATGGAATTGAGTTGTAACAGAGCAACCTTTACTTAATAAACTATTATTTTTATTGAGCGGAAGCAGTCATTTTATTTATACCCAACAATATATGGAATGTTAGGTACTTCTGTTTATTTCATTGTTTTAGAGGACAAGATTCGTAATGTTTCATTAATATCTCAATCCATACTTTTCTTCATTCAAATGGTTTTGAGAATGTCCACAAACCAGTATTGTTATGTCGTGTTCGCTTGTCATTTTGTTAGCAAAAATATCTATAATCCGGACAATAATTCCTAAGCAATCTGTAGACGTTTCTATTGCTGGGAGATTCATAACGAACCGAAGAAATTCTGTTCCAGCCATTTTTCCTAGATCTGCCATTATCAGACGTTTTGAGCTAGACAGTTATTCGTAAATAATTGATAGTCATTAAAATGACATTACCCTGGTACATTAAAATCGGTCTTTATATTTTATTTATTCTTATAATGAAGTATTTTGCAGTTGAAGTTATTAATTTCACACTAGCAAGTCCTTGTTCTTTTAGGTTAAATTCCTATTGTCAAAAGTTTCGATATCAAGCTGCAAAACATTCGTCATCTAATTGTCATTTGTTCACGTAATCTTTTTTGAAATATTGCTCAATAGTGAAGCGTTTTCCAACCATAATAGTTCACTTTAAACATGTCGATATTGTAAATCTTTATACATGGATTCCACTATTTCATCTCATTCAAGATTGTTTTTTATCTTTTCAGCATCCGTGGTATCATGACCAAGTATTTGGAAAAGAACAACCAAATGACCTTCGATAAAATTTTTAACGAGAAGTTAGGTAAGTAGACTGACCACAATGTAGCTAAGATCTCCCTTCCACTTAAGGTTACTTGTTGTTTCGGGACTTCGTTCTCAATGTAAGTGAAGAACCTGTTCCTCAGCTTACGTTTTACGAAAATGTAAGAAGTATTTGGAGTATTTATTTTTTATAATCTGTAGATTAAAAAGTTTGAAAAGTTAGACACAGATGAAGAGCGTATTAAATTTGGCCGAGAAATATATGATCAACACATTATGAAAGAACTTTTATCGCATAACCACGTATGTTTGTCTACTTAAGTAACTTTAAATTTTGCCAGAAATTCTCTAAATCAACTGTGGATCATGTCCATGAACTACTCACTCTATCTCAAAAGACTAAAAAGCTACCAGCAGATACATTTTCTGTATGGTTTTACATTTAATTGTTCTGATTTTTTAGTTGTATGAAGATGAAATCCTCCAGTTCCTTCGTGGTGATGTATTTGACAATTTTCTTAGAAGGTAGATTAAAATTCCTTTATTTACTCGTTACTCTACCTTTGTTAACAGTAATAAGTTCACTCGATTTTGTCAATGGAAGGATTTGGAGTTAAATATTAACGTATGGTTATATTAACTAATTAGTCCCAATTATTTGATATTAATAGTTAACCACAAACGATTTCAGCGTACATCGCATTATTGGGCGTGGTGGTTTTGGGGAGGTCTATGGATGCCGAAAAGCAGACACTGGTAAAATGTAAGTACATACTGGCTATTGAATTCATGCATTGCTGAAAAACGAATACATGAATTGTTACTTTTCATAGCATATAGTCTAAAATCTAGCAGAGAATTTTAATATTCCTCACTTATGTGATAAAATGCTTCAGGTGTTTTATGCATTACCTGTTTACAGGTCCATCCAAGATACTGCGGTGATTCAGATTATCACTCCGTTGCAAAATGTCAGGATTTATAGAGGATTACATCGTTAATTTAATCTCGAACACCTATTATATCCTAATTTGAACTTGCATTTGTATAAACGCTAATGAGTTTAAGAAAGAAATGCTTTCGTTTCATTCTTAAAAACTCGAACAGGAGCAATATGTTTGGGGGGGGGACATCGACCGAATGTCGAATCATAGTTGTGATATTTATTCTGACTTAGTATAGGCCCGCATAACATTTACTGTGAAGATAGTGTAACAGTTAATTACTTACTAATAGCCAAATTAACATTTACTTCATACCACTTGACTTGTTTCTTCGTCGTTAATTGGCTATATGCCAATTCACGTTTATTCGACGTAACTATATATGATCTTCATACCTAATGATAAACTTCAATCAGTTTCTGTTGATGGTGTTCTTTCAGACCTTAGTTTCTTCTCGCTTCTAGTTTTACAAAACTATTTATTGGAAGTATACGAAAAAACAATATTCCGTTGGTATACCGCTTCTACTCCGGCCACAGGTAGTTGGGTATATATAATGCATATTTAAACCACTTCGGCCAATGAAGACTTCCGTGTTACCTTCTTTACTTAACACATTTAATCCAATCTTACTCTATCAATCCTACTAAGGTATATTTACTTCAAAGTAGTATTTGTTGAATTTCATCCAGGTTGATGATAAACACATAGTCTAGTAAATTTTATTGATAAATAGGTTTCGTGTAATATTTGTATTTGTTTTGAGGATCGAATTTCTTGGTTGTCTACTCTATTATCAACCATGAAACTGTGTAATTCCTTCTGAAAAGGTGTTAAGCCTAGTGTCGTGCGTTAGACATCAATCGTTGTTAACATCGAAAATTCTTTGTGTTTATCATTCAAAGATAACTAGAATAAAGGCAAACGACAACTTTATGTGATTGGTTAACCACAAATGTTATGAGAAAAGTACCTTTGGTGTTAATTTTCGGTTCTTATACCTATTATAAATAGCGATAAACGAAATGTTTTAGTGAGTTTTAGTTTTGACTGATTATTCATTTGAACATTTCTTTATGTAGGTATGCCATGAAATGTCTGGACAAAAAGAGGATCAAAATGAAAGGGGGAGAAACTTTGGCCCTCAATGAACGTGTTATGCTTTCACTTGTTAGCACAGGGGTGAGTACTTGTTTTCTATTATTGCTTTTTTATGTCCGCATAATGTGCTATTGATAGGTTTTGTGTTACGGTTCGTGAGTAGCCATAAACAATGTGAAACTTTCAGTTCACACATCTTTAGACATTGGTGTTCCTATTAAGTTAGCCATAATCAACAGAGGATCTGACAGATGCTCCAGCTCAAGTTGCCATATTACATAAGTGCGGTAAAATTAACAAAGTGACTAGTATCAGTGACAGTGACAAAGACAGGATGGATTTAAAGAAATAAGACTGAAGCTTATGACTTGGGAGGGAAAATGAGTGACTGAATCTGCACTACTGTGACCTATTTTGAAATATGTCTACAACTAGTTACGATAATCATGAAGATCCAAACCAACTAGTCAAATGTTACTTACACAGCTCAGTCTGAGAGTCAGTGACTTCATAAACTGATGTCATATTTTATTTTCGTCCTCCTGATCTTCTTTTAACCCATTTCTACTCCAGGTGACATCGGGTGTCGATGTTTGCGGTGGTCGGGAATATGTAACACTTGTCCCAACCATCTCAGTCAATAAAGGTTCACGATGTCATAAGCCGATTTGCCATCTTAGTTCAGTACTTTTTATCAGGATTACTCAACAGTGCTCATGTAGTTGTTCCACTATACGCAACCGATGGTTCGAAAGTACCCTTATTACGACCCAGCTACACTTATTGTCTAGCATTCACGGACACTACTCCACTTGACAATTCCCCAGATCAGAGCACGATTGAACAGGAACGTAATTATATTCCAGACAAACAAGGTACGAATCACAATAAGAAAACTGTTAATATATTTATGGTTTTTACATGAGAAGGTTCTAGAGTCTTCTCCAAGTATCTGCTAGCGCTGATTGGTTAAGAAACGGCCAATCAACGTATCCTCAACACAGTCCTGAACGGAATATGCTTTAATCCAATCTATACCCCGCTAGCAGGTTCACTATTATGTTGGGATATCGATCTGCGTAACCAAGGTGAACCATAACAACGTCACTTGCTATGATCACTCTGGGTGTCGATGCAGACCAATCACTAATCAACGTTTTGGATTCAGAAGTAAAGAAATCCATCCCAACCATGTTTGCATTGTTATTCAGGCTGTTCAAGGGACTGTATAATGTTTCAGTCTTCATCAAATAAAATCATGTCACTTGCGTATTCTACGGTTTTGAAAGCACTTTTATTTTTCTGGTTATAATGGCATTTACACTGAGTTATCAGAGATGTGTAGATGATTGCGTAGGCACGGTTCGAATGTTGAAGTCAACTTAACAGTCAACACCTTAAAGACATTTGTATGTGTGTTTTTATGTGGGATGTATCTTTAGTTTCATGTGTATTTACTTCTAGACTTAAAGTAGTAATTCATTTTTCATGGTTAATATATCTCACCAGTATCTACTGAGTAATTTGCTAATTAGAGACCCATTGATCGAGACATTGTTTTGTCTAATAACCACAAAATTAATCAATTTATTTTAATCAAGAAATTTTTAAAGCCATAGTTAGGGATTCTGACTTCCTGCTCACTTCGACCCATTAGTCCTAAATCAAAGAATAAATGACCTCATGTGTATAGTCGTTATTACTGTTATGTCCCGGCGAGAATTATGAGTGGCAACTCTTGAGAACTATTTATGGACCAGTACGATGTATATATATTTTTTGTATAATTGTTTAATCTCTAAAAATGCATATTTATGTTCCTCTTATTGTAAGCCTTATTTTGACTCATAGACTACTATTGTGCGACTTACCGTTCTTGAGTTATGTCCAGTCTATTAATTACAGTCTCCCACATTCACAGCCACTTTTTGCGAAATCTTGTACAAATTTTATTTTTTATTCTATGGTATGATGCGGTCTGTTTGGTTTGCATATAAACCCAATATGTTTGAAAAACATGGTTCATATCGTGGAGGCTGAGATTGGTGTTACGGACTTAACAACCATGGAGAGACAGGAAGCAAGACCGTTAAAGACTCTGGACTGCTCGTACGGTTTTTATGCGTCGATAATTCACTGTTCTCTAATTGGCGGTATCATTACATAATATATTAATAGGGGCACTAGACCTACAAAATATAATAATTACCGACTTTTATCTATCGTTTAAACGTTGTATTTAAGCATGTAGGCTATAAATTGTATTCTCCAAGACTTTATACTGTAGGCAAACTGGTTTAATCTGGAATCTTCCGAGATTTTGTAATGTTTTTACACTTATGACAAATACAATTCCCCTGAAATTTGTGGTCTGTTATGGTTTGAACATGCTAGTTACTCGTCCTGACAACCAGATGCTTATTTAGTCAACTTTATACTTTTGCTGGAAATAAATTTCTATGAACTAGTTAATTGTACGTAGGACAACCTAAATACTCTCAGTAATTTACACTGTATTTATGCAACATATATCATTAAGTATTTCAGTTTGATTTCAGGACTCCCATTTTCACAAGCGCGTCTGATTGTTTATTACTGAATTTAGAGTTTTTCCTAAAAACTATCCCGCCGTAATGATGGAAATGTTATATTTGAATAGAGGGTATTAGTTTTTTACCACTAGACTTGATTCCATGTTTTCCATATTGTTTTTCTACTAAGTTAATCATTATTTGAAGTGACAACGAAAATAATGGCACAATAAAATAAAAGCGTGTCAAAGCAAAATGGCGAATTGAACATTCGAAATTTATTCATGCTTAAAAGAACCTGAGTTATAACGCTGCTGAATCAGTTTTTGGGTAAATAAAAACTTACATAGAAAAGACAAGCAAATGGGAGTGGTAGGGAAATCAATTTAGAAAAATTTCACATTATTTTAAATCAGGACAGGGATGAATTACATAACCATTTTCTGCGTAAATAAATTGGAATTGTTTCTTTCATCTTATAATTGTAAGCTGTACAAAAACAATCATTCTCTACTTCATAATGTATCTTACATAATACGAAAAATCACTTTTTGATGGTTCGATAGTTAGTATCAATCAGTTACATTAAAATAAGATTGAATTAAATTTTTATTATCTTTGCAGTAAAGAGAAATGTTTAGGTATGGATGATTACAGCTTTAATTACTAAACTGGATATTTTTCCTTTTTGTGTAAATATATAAATCAGTCGGTGTACGTGAAAGCTTTCTTTCAACGTTAGAATTTACTTATATTACATAATTTTCCTTGTAAATAATCATCTTAATATGGTGGTGGTGGACACTACTCACAAAATTGCTTATAAGTAGTATGTAGTAGAACGTTGCATGAGAGTTGCTATCGTCGATAGCTGAAAATAGGAGTCTCAGAAAGCCAAAAGTACAGAGTGTTCAGAATACTTATGAGAGCAGAAGAGAAGCCATGGAAGACAGTCTAAAACCAGCTTGGGTTGCGGAACACAATAGATGCAAATGAAAGATCCAAAACTAGGTCTGTGTATTTCATAAGCAGTCTACCTTTTCGCCAAATTAATATATATTTTCTGTCTGGACTTGACTTGTTCGTACATTACGTGGTTGCCTTTGATGGTAAGCTAGTTGGAGCATTAATTTTATTTGCTCAGTGTTGTATTTACCAAGGTTTTTATTTTCTCTTTTTCTAAAACAAATAGGATGGTTGTCCTTTTATAGTTTGTATGACGTACGCCTTTCAGACTCCAGAAAAATTATGCTTTATACTAGATTTAATGAATGGTGGTGATTTGCACTATCATCTTACTCAGCACAATATCTTCTCTGAATCAGAAGTACGTTTTTATGCAGCTGAAGTTATATTGGGTTTGGAGCATATGCATAATCGTTTCATTGTATATCGCGATTTGAAGGTAAATATACCAACTTAATATTTTATGCTTTTACCATTTGGATACCTATTTTCCTTTTACTAAAACTTTTATTTGGGGATATATGAACTAAATGCTGTCACATTGAATATGGAGTTGTTCTGACCAGATAAACTTCATGTACTTAGTAGGATAAGTTTCGACCTTAAAAACTTGGAAACTGGTTTCGGTTTGCCCTTGTTCTGAATGTCGAATAAAAAATTCCAATTGTATTGCTAAAGTTCTATTACTATCTAGTGATATATTCCACTCTAATAACCACAGTTATTCACAATCTGAGTAATAAACGGTGTACTGGTTTATTTCTATTCAAATTTTTGGGGTGGAATCTGGATGAAGCTCTTATAAATAGTATCTTTTTGACATCGACCAGAATTGTTAATTTACATTCAAGTTCATTCGATTACATAACGATTGTTCAATGATTATTAAGTACAAAATTTATCAAACTAAGAAGTTATCAGTTAGGCATAAAATCACAGTAAATTGATGAATACAATGGAAAATGTATTAAAATCAAATAATCAATTTCATAGTGAACGAAAGCTATTGAAAATTCACCGAAAGTCAGTAAGTGAAAATCGGTTTAGAAATAATTAATACGGAAGTCAAAAACAAAATTCACTTCAGATCAATGTGTATTTTAAAATTGATTTTTTCCGTATGTTGTATTTGGTCCGAGATTTAGCATCTCCAATAGATTCACTTTTGATTGTCTGATAATGACTACCAGAAATATCACACACTTATAGGTATCGTTATCAAGGTTTGACTTGATAACTTTGAATAAATTGAGGATTGGGTAGATTATTATAAATAAATCAATATATTTGTAATATCCCAATGAGTAGGAAAATTAGATTTTCTGACGTTTCGTGACTCAGTGTAAGCCACTTCTTCAAAGAATAAATAACTAAATCTAATTTTTCTACTCATTGGGATATTACAAATATATTATTTATCTATTTATCACACAGTCAGTCAGTCAGTAACAACGTAGAACTTCGTACGTACGTACATCAGTTCGAGTTGCCACACCACATTAGCACAGAGATGCAGTGGTCGATTCAAATCCCGTAGCGGTAGAGGTAATAAGAGTATAAGCAGTAATCGGGAAAATTAGTGTTTGGAGATGTTACTTAAAGAGTATAATACAGTGAAATAAATTTGGGAAGAGAAAAAAAAGAGACAAGGAGGAATCAGGTGATTAGAATTTGAAAGAACACAAAGAGTGTATGCACCTGCGCCATTGCAAACGATTTTGAGCCATGTCATTCAGGGTCTCTAACCATCGGTTTCTATCATCTCGCGGTCCCCAACCAGGTAGTCTACACCTACCAACATGACTCAGTCCACTTGTCAGTGACTTCATGGACTTGTGCCATGTTTTGGTTTGGCCGCCTCTAGCTTTCTCCCAACCTACTCCTATACCACTGGACATAGCACGTCGAGGCAGTCGGTTGTTGGGCATACGTAACAAGTGTCCCATCCATCTCAACTGATGAAGTTTCACTACTTCATCAATTGATTTGCCATCCTTACCTAGTACCCGTTTCCTAACAACTGCATTGCTTACTCGATGGTCCCAGGATATACGAGGAATATTTCGAAGACACCTTTGATCAAATACTAGTAACCTACAGGTATCCTCTACTCCTATCGGCCATGTTTCACTGCCATAAAGAAGGACAGAACGAACTGCTGCTCAGTAAACCCGTCCTTTGGTTGATAGACGGATATCTCGCCTACGCCATAAATGACGCAAGTTGGTAAAAGCTAGTCGAGCCTTCTGTATCCGTGCTGAGATTTCGTCACACACCAGACCACGAGGGCTGATGAGACTTTCAAGATAAGTGAAGCGATCGACACGCCCAATTACTACACTCCCTATCATTAGTTCGGGTGTCAATGCAACCCAATCCTGAAGCAACATTTTGCATTTCGAGGGAGAGAATCGCATCCCGAACATGGTTGCATTGTTGCTTAGAGTGGTCAGAAGACTCTGCATTTTGTCAGCGTCTTCGCGAAATAAAACTATGTCATCAGCATATTCTAAGTCAACAAGTGAACCTCATGGTAGAAGTTCAACCCCTGTAAAGTCAGATGAGGAAAGTGTTATCTCTAAAAGTACGTCGACGACAAAGTTGAACAAGAATGGAGAGAGTTGACAGCCCTGACGAACACCACTTGAGGTAATCAATTGTGATAGCAGCTCGCCATAAGCTCTCACTCTACCAGTTGTGTTCGAGTAGAGAGCCTCTATAAGGTTAATGTCAGTCAGTCAGTCAGCTACAACGTAGGACCAGGCACATATGTGCATCGGTCCTGGTTGCCATACCGCATCAGCACAACAAGATGAACACCGGATTCATAGGAGTGGTTAGGTCAAAGGTGGTAATATATAAGAGAAAGATTGCATATAGAGATATAGTACAAAAAGAAAAAATTGGTTCGTAGAAAGAAAGATATGAAGCGGTTTTAATCTTTTAGTTTAAGGGAAGACAGGGAGTGTATACACCGACGCCATTGTGATCGATTCTGAGCCATGTCACCAAGAGTCTCCAACCATTGGTTACGATAGTCACGCGGACCCCAACCAAGTATTCTGCATCTACCAACATGGCTCAGACTACAAGTTAGTGACTTCAAGCACTGATGCCACGTTTTGGTTTGGCCGCCCCTGACTTTCTTCCAACCGTCTCCAATACCGGATAGCATTGCATGTCGTGGTAATCGATATTCAGGCATACGTAACACGTGGCCCAACCATCTCAGTCGATGAAGATTCATAACCTCATCAACTGATTTACCATCATTTCCTAATACCCTGCGTCTAATCTCACTATTACTTACCCGGTGATCCCAACAGATGCCAGCAATATTTCTAAGGCATCTGTGGTCAAATACTAATAGCTTACGGGTGTCTTCTACTCTTAATGGCCATGTTTCGCTGCCGTAAATTAAAATAGAACGGACTGCCGTGCATTATATTCGTCCTTTTATTGATAGACGGATATCTCACCTTCGCCACAGGTGACGTAAGTTGGCAAAAGCCAAACGAGCTATCTGAATCCGTGCTGAGATTTCGTCAGACACCAACCCATTAGGGCTGATCAGACTCCCAAGATAGGTGAAGTTGTCAACGCGTTCGACTACTTCACTCCCTATCCTTATTTCAGGTGTTAACGCAGACCAGTCCTGAAGCAACAACTTGCATTTCGAGGGAGAGAAGCACATTCCAAACATTCTGGCATTGTTGCTCAGTGCTACCAGAAGACTCTGCATTTTCTCAGCGTCTTCACCAAACAGGACTATGTCATCTGCGTATTCTAAGTCGATAAGTGGACCTCCTGGAAGGAGATCATTGCCCGAAAATTCAGTCGATGAGAATGTTATTTCCATCAGTAGGTCTATGATGAAGTTAAACAAAAATGGAGAAAGTGGACAGCCTTGACAGACACCACTTGATGTTGCAAACGTAGGTGACAGTTCGCCATAAGCTCTGACTCGACTAGTAGTGTTCAAGTAAAGAGCCTTCACAAGGTTTATGTACCTCTGAGGTACACCTTTCAATGACAGACACTGCCACAGAATCTCGCGGTCTACGGAGTCAAATGCTGCTTTTAAGTCAAGAAAGACCACCATTGTCGGACGCCGGTAAGTATGCCTGTGTTCTAGAATCTGACGAATGGTGAATATGTGGTCGATGCAGCCACGACCAGGTCTGAAACCAGCTTGATTCTCTCGTGTTTGCAGTTCACGAGTCTTAGTTAGGCGTCTGATAATTATCGAGGCTAGTATTTTAGATACTATATTTGTTAAACTGATCCCTCTATGGTTGTCACAGGATGATTTTGACCCTTTCTTATATATTGAGACGATAAGTGATTGTGACCAGTTAGATGGGATAACGTCTGACTCCCAGATCTTAGCTAAAATATTAGTCAACCTAATCGCTAAAATTGGACCACCATCCTTAAAGACCTCTGGAGCCAGTCCATCTGGACCAGCTGCCCTTCCTCGTTTCAGACTAACTATAGCCTTTTGAACTTCAGCAAGAGTTGGGGGACCTACTTCAATGTTCCATTCACACTGTCTGGGAATGGAGGGTAGTTGTAGAGTAGCTGAAGGCCAGTTGAACTGTTCTCTGAAATGTTCCGCCCATCGTTCTAAACGTCTGGACTGGGAGCAGATGAGAGTATCGTCTTTTTCCGATATAATCTCACTTACACTTGACTTATTAATTCCAGTTTCTTTTATTAGTCTGTAAAGCTGTCTTGTGTTCCCTATAGCCGCCGCCTTTTCCATCTCTTGCTTTCGTTACCCACCACTGCTTACGGTCGTTCCTCAGACTTTTTCTTAACCTAGATCTGATTTGTTTACGCTCTTCATCATGTTCAGAACCTGATGGGACGAGTTTGCGAGAATCCATCAATGTGATAGACCTTGAAGAAATCCACTGGTTCCTTGCAACTCTGTGGTTCAAGTCACTAATAGATGTCACTGCTGTTTCCACAGCTGTTTGTATAGCTTTCCAAGCAACATCTGGGTCAGCCTCATTTTCAGAACTTCCTAAGTGTGACGTCAGTTGTTCCTGGAACCTACTTTTGGTTTTTTCGTTACTCAACTCAGTTCTAATGGGTCTTTTTAATGTGGCTTTTTTGCGTCCAGTGAGGCGCAAGCAGATGCGTGCCCGTATTAGGGCATGGTCGGAGTCCAAGCAGGTACTCCAGAATGAGCGACAATCTTCTACTGACCCTCTCCAACGATGGCTGATGGCAATATGGTCTATTTGAGTCCATCGTTGGTTTGGTGTAGGGGGTCGCCATGTTAGACGATGTCTCTCCCTATGCTTAAAATTTGTGTTTGCTAAAAATAAACGATTGCCTGAGCATTGTTGCAGAAGACGATCACCATTATCTGTTCGCTGAGCCGGGATACTAAAATATCCACCTAAATGCCTTTCTGTTTGGTTTAAACTACCTATCTGGGCATTAAAGTCACCCCCTACGAGTACTATTTCTGAGCGTTTAGCTTTCTGCAGAAGTTCGGACAGCTTTCTGTAAAATTCATCTTTCATTTCATCTGGGCTGCAGTCGGCGGGAGCGTAGGCAGAAACGACAAAAAGGCAACGACGTGTGTCCCTATCCTTCCGAGTTCTTACGTAGCCGTTTAGCTGAACAGCACATAGACGACTGCTGACGAGGATCCAATCTAGCAGTGCTTGTTTGGCCCTCATGCTTAGTGCTATGCCTACACCTGCCAGTCCACGAGAGCTGGCCATCGGGTCACCAGATACACAGAGGGTGTATCTCGTTGGTTCTCCGTTTTGCCGAGGTGAGGTCAAGTGAATGACCACACTAGGATCCCGTATGGGTGTTTCGGAGACACAGCATACATCAATGGTAAGAGACTCTAGGGTTTTAGCCAAGGAAGCCTGCTGACGGATTTGACGTAGTGTTCGTACGTTGAAGGCTCCAATGTGTAGTGTGGAGCGAGGTTTCAGTAGACCTGGGACAGTGTTTTGAGCACTAGAATCGTTGGCTGTGATGACACTTAAGGTGGAAGCCGAAAGAGGAAATTTATAGTTGAAAGTCGATGTAGGCGGAATAATAGGAATTAAAAAGGAAGGTTGATTATGAATACAGTGGTCTTGGTTGCTTTTAGAGGTATGAGGGCGGTTATCACTTCCCGGTTGCCCACACCGAGGAAGGGTTCTTCTGAAGGTACTTGAAAAGGAAATTGGATTAGAGGCGGTCTCAGTGACCTGAGAGCGTGACCGCAGTGCCCAAGGGACAACTGCTTGAGGCCGGTCGCGCACGGCTTTTTCGTGGGAGGTTTTTGACGTGTTAGCTCCGTTCTTCAAAGGGCCTTACCGCCGGAGACGGAAATCCGTGAGGTAAGGTGAGGTGTGCATTTTTAGGGTCGACCTTTTCTAACCCCACCCCTCCTTGTGGGAAGACAGCATCGCTGTCATGCTGGTTGTCTGAAGGAAACACCTTACTGCTGTCACACCTCTGTACAGTCAGCAGTACGACTTCGCCTTCGGACCTTGGGTTTGTTGCTTTTAGTCTTACCGCTCTTCAACCGACCTGTTTGACATGGTAGGACCTAGAGGAACGGTTGTTCCAGCCAGTATAGCTCGGTTGCGTCATCACGATAGGCAAGCCGGACCACTACGTCAAGGTAGCAACAACGGTCGGGATAAGGTTAATGTACTTCTTTGGTACTCCTTTCAGCGACAAACACTGCCATAGAACCTCACGGTCAACAGAGTCGAATGCCGCCTCAAGGTCGAGAAATACTACGATTGTGGGGCGTCTGAATGTGTGTCTGTGTTCTAGAACCTGACGTAGTGTGAATATCTGGTCTATACAACCACGTCCAGGTCGAAAACTAGCCCGGTTTTCTCTAGTCTGCTCTTCACGAGCTTTAGTTAGGCGTCGAATTATTATTGAAGCTAATATTTTAGACACTATATTTGTCAAACTGATTCCTCTGTGATTGTCACAAGAGGACTTTTTTCCTTTCTTATAGACTGGCACAATCAGTGATTGAGACCAGTCAGATGGGATTACGTCTAGTTCCCAAATCCTACCTAAGACCTCAGTTAATCTCACTGCTAATACTGGACCACCATCCTTAAAAATCTCAGGAGTGAACCTGTCAGGGCCTGCTGCTCTCCCTCGCTTCAGATTTCCTATGGCATTTCCAACTTCGTAAAGAGTGGGAGGACTTACATTAACTTGCCATTCAGGTTGACTGGAGACCGTAGGAAACCGAAGTGTGGCTGAAGGCCAGTTGAACTGATCCCTAAGGTGTTCTGCCCATCGATCCAATCTCCTGGATTTATCACACACTTAATTTGGATATTATGATTTTATGATTGAGAGTTATCCTCCTTTACATGACAGTTTTTGTTGCACCGGATGCTCAAAGTGAATTTTCTAAATCCACTTACGACACATCAGGTATTGAAATTTACATGTTTTGTTTATAATGAAATGTTTTGTATTTTAATTTGCAAATTACCGTAAGTTAAGTATATTACTTCAACTAAAGTCATAGTGTAAAGGGTCAAAGTATTTTCTTGAGGTCTTGGTGTTAGGCGAAATTGCGATCACAATTGGCACCGAGTAGCTTTTATCTTCATGAATCACGCATTTAACAAATATTCAGACTATTGAAGTATACTTCTACATTTTGAATTGTGGTATGTCAGTTTTGAGTGATACTTGTTAGGTAGAGTTTTATTGTTTAGGTAGATGTTTTTTGATTGTAGTTTGTTTGGATTCCATTCCTACCTCTTGCTTTTTTTCTCCCGATAAAATAGCCTGCAAACATACTTCTGGATGAATATGGTCATGTTCGAATCAGTGATTTGGGATTAGCCTGTGATTTTTCACGTCGGAAACCTCATGCTAGCGTTGGGACTCACGGTTACATGGCTCCTGAGGTACTGTTAAAAGGTTGTCCATATGATTCTTCAGCTGATTGGTTTTCACTTGGATGCATGTTATACAAATTATTAAGGGGTCATAGTCCATTCCGACATCACAAGACAAAGGATAAACATGAGATTGACAGAATGACAATGACCATGGTAAGATTTGGTGTTGTAGAGTAGTTTCCTTGATGATTATTTTTTCAATGAATTCCAAGTGATTACTTTCAAAATATGCTCTTTATGGTATTAGAGAGATGGAAAATTAAATGAACAAACTTATTAACACATGGCTATGAACAAAATAGTATCGGTCCAGGTTTTCAGGAAGAACGGAATGATTCAAATAATCTGTACGGGCCACACGTTTTTGTGTGTGAAAGCTAGTAACGCTACATAATTGCTCACATAGAAGTGATTGGCTGGAGTGGGGTTGAAATGTGCAATAATTTATCATTCTTAATTATCCTACTTCATCAATTGATGCAGTGTACTATGCAGCAATCAGCTTCGCGGTTTTTTATAACTGTGAGATATTATTATCGTAGAAGGAAAAGGGCATAGATCATGTGTATTCGATCATCATCGTCTGCGAAGGGTTTATGGTATGAGAACCATCAGTTATATAGTGTCTAAGTTAGATGCGATTTCGTAAACGGGGTAATCCAATCATTGAGTTTATAAATCTAAAATGATTAATGTAGTAAAAGCATGGGAAATTATAAAAATAATTCAAATGATCAACGCTCATGTAATATTGTGATATCTAAATGTATTCAATAATAACTTTTGTACTATTTTCTTTGTAGCATGATTTCAATCAATTTTTTCCACTAATTTACAAACTTTTTCAGAGTCTCGATATTCCAGACGGTATGTCCTGTGAAATGCGGTCCCTGTTGGAAGGTTTGTTAGCGCGTGACGTTTGCAATCGCCTTGGATGTATGGGTCGTGGGTAAGATATTTCTGAAGTAAACATTTTTCATGACAGTGTAGGCAAATTTAATCGTATTATGTGCTTTATGGTGAATAAGTAACTGGTTGTGGTAAGCAAAATATACTCCCTACAGTCCTTCATGGATTATTGATAATAAGCGATCAGAATATTGGGAACTTTTTCTGAATATCTTAGTTAACATCTTCTGTACTGCTTGAATTAGTTGTTCCATTCATGATAAAAAATTCAGTGGCACATATCATCCAATCGTTTCACTATCAACTGTGTTTTAAATAACATGATTTGTTTGTGGAAATCATTGCTACGCCTTTCATTTTTTACCCAATAGTATACAGGAGAAAACTTGTCTCGATTTAGATTTAGGCCTTGATATGACAGACTAATTGGTTCAGCCTTTTAGGTAGAAATGTGTGATTCCGAATGAAACTCACAACTTATGGCTGAGTGACGAGAACTATTCTATCACCTGATTGGTTGACAAGCGAAAGAGAAGACGAGTCAACAGGAACACTTTGATTTATTCTTGATTCAGCTTAATAAGAAATCTGAGTAAATATATGACTAACACGGTCTCATTGCACAAAAAATTAGAAGAATACAACTGTATGCAAACCAGACTTTGAGGTAAAAAGGGAGTGCAAAAGGTTATGTTCAAATTACAATAGCTTTGAAACAGAAAAGGGCATGACAGTGATTCATGTATCAAACGAAAGCTTATAGTTTATAGAATCACCAGGGCAAAAACTAAATGTTAGTATTTTACAGATTTTGGATAAAGTGAAATAATGTTCCCGAAAATATCTTCCGTTGTTCTTCATGGTTTATTTTTCTGTTCACACAAATTATCTCACCTGTTTTCGCACATTTATGCAGGTCGGACAACAGATAGGGCTGGCTATGTCTTTGGAAAGTCTTAATATCGACGTGTGTTGTCTATCCGAGACCCGTACTCAAGACTCTGGCGAAGTACTACAAATTCGATCTCCATCTGTCGCTTCGAAAAGCTTGTTTTACGTGCGCTTATCCGGGGACCCTGTGGCATCTTCGTCTGGTCTTGCTGGCGTTGGTGTCGCACTAAGCGCTAGAGCTGAGGCAGCACTAGTCGATTGGATCCCCATTAACAGTCGGTTATGTGCTGTTAGATTAGAAAGTTCCATCAAAGTGAGAAGAAATCGGCGTGAGAAACGATGTCTTTTCGTCATCTCCGCCTATGCCCCGACAGATTGCAGCCCGGATGCAATCAAGGATGAGTTTTACCACCAGTTATCAGTTCTTCTCCAGAAAGTGCGTTCGACAGATATTGTAGTACTAGCCGGAGACTTGAATGCTCAGGTCGGGCGTCTAGGCACAGAAGAGAGTCGTTTAGGTGGCCGATGGGGACTCGTTGGTCGCAGGTCAGATAACGGGGACCGTCTACTGCAACTTTGCACAGACCACAACCTGTTTCTGGCTAGCACTAACTTTCGGCACAGTCATCGCCGATGTGCCACCTGGCGTCCTCCCTCTGCATCTCAAGCCTGGACTCAGATTGATCACATCGCGATCAGCTACCGCTGGCGTGGTTGTGTACAAGACTGCCGCTCCTTTTGGAGTACCTATCTGGACTCTGACCATGCCTTGGTCTGCGCCAATCTTGCCTTACTTTTCAGTGGCCAACGAAGTGAACGCCATCAACGGATTGATGTTAGCAAGCTGGTTGCAACTTCTGTTGCTAGTAAGTATCGAACCGAGCTAGCCTCTAGGCTAGCTACCACTCCACCAAAAAGTATAGATGAGCATTGGTTGCAATTGCATGACGCCATGAAAATGGCGGGAACAGTCAGTTGTGGGTTTGCGAAACGTCCCGCTTTTAAGCACTGGGTTTCTTCTGGTTCCTTACAACTCATTGAAGCCCGTCGGTCTACTCCGGGTGACCGTGAGTTTGACCATAAACGAAGGATGTTACGTGAGGAAATTGGGCAAAGCTTGCGTAAGGACCGAGAAGCCTGGTGGTCGGAGCGTGCTAATGAGCTGGAAGCAGCAGCTGCATCTGGTAACTGCCGGAAGCTCTTCCAGCTCATCCGAGCCACTGGCAGCAAGAAGTCTGGTGTGAGTGAAACAATCTGCGAGGATGATGGGATGCCAATCACTAACATCCATCGACGTCTTGGACGATGGGCAGAATTTTTCGAAGGGCAGTTCAACTGGCCTGCTGCTCCGGCAACATCGGTCAGACTGTCCTGCCCTCCATGGCAGGTGACGACTGATCCACCAAATGAGGAGGAAGTCCGCAAGGAACTCCAACTCTTGAAGCGTTACAAATCACCTGGCCCAGATGACTTACCTCCGGCTCTTTTTAAAGATGGTGGTGACTTTTTGACTAAGGAATTGACGACGTTGTTTACAAAGGTTTGGGAACTAGAGAGTGTACCAACGTCATGGAATGAGTCGATAGTTGTCCCTATCTTTAAAAAGGGTTCACGTCGTTCTTGTAACAACTATCGGGGGATAAGTTTACTTCCGATTGCGTCCAAGCTATTGGCTTCCGTCATACTTCGTAGGTTGTTCAAAACCCGAGAAAGATTGACTCGCGAGGAGCAGGCTGGGTTTCGTTCTGGTCGAGGATGTATTGATCATATCTTCACCCTTCGCCAAATGTTAGAACACCGCCATACTTATCAAAGGCCAACGATCGTAGTGTTTCTTGACATCAGGGCTGCCTTCGATTCGTTGGATAGGACTGTTCTCTGGGATTGTCTATTGAAGAAGGGTGTGCCTGAGAAGTTTATTAACATCCTAAAAGCCCTATATAAAAACACCTCAGGCAGAGTGAGGGCATACAACCACCTCTCTCCATTGTTCCATTCGAGCAGTGGGGTTAGGCAGGGTTGCCCAATCTCATCATTCCTCTTCAACTTTGCCATCGATGACATTCTGGAAACAGCCCTGATGAATGTAAGTAATGGTGGTGTGGATCTGTTGCCTGGAGAAAGACTTCTCGACCTTGAGTATGCGGACGATATTGTCTTACTGTGCGATAATGCCCAAGGCATGCAATCCGCACTTAATCAGTTGGCAATCAGTGTCCGTAGGTATGGTATGTGCTTTGCACCTTCGAAGTGCAAAGTACTTCTACAAGACTGGCAGGATTCTAATCCTGTACTCACCCTGGATGGTGAGCAGATAGAAGTAGTCGAGAAGTTCGTGTATCTGGGTAGCTGCATAAGTGCTGGTGGGGGTGTGAGTGATGAGATCAATGCACGAATAGTGAAAGCCAGAGCGGCTTATGCCAATCTGGGTCACCTTTGGCGCCTTCGTGATGTTAGTCTGGCTGTGAAAGGCCGGATCTACAACGCGTCGGTGAGAGCAGTTTTGCTCTATGCTTGTGAAACCTGGCCTCTCCGATTAGAGGACGTAAGACGACTCTCTGTGTTCGATCATCGCTGTCTCCGAAGGATTGCTGACATTCAGTGGCAACACCATGTCAGTAATGCAGAGGTTCGGCATCGTGTGTTCGGGCACAGAGATGATAACTCAATTGGTGTCACCATCTTGAAACACCGACTTCGGTGGCTTGGACATGTTCTCCGAATGTCGTCCCAGAGAATTCCACGTCGTGCATTATTTGCCGACTCTGGGACTGGTTGGAAGAAGCGGAGAGGTGGTCAGTGCATGACATGGTGTCGTGGCATGAAAGAAAGCTGCAAAGGACTGGCTTGTGTTGGTCCTTCACGACTCCCTGGCTGGGGTCCGAGAGATGGTGCTACACAGTGGCTAGAGACGTTATCAGATATGTCTCAGAATAGAAGCTAGTGGCGATCCTGCTGTAACCTTTTACTTTCTTCATAAAAAGTGGTTGTGTCTCCTTTACCTGAAAGATTTCTTCTGATTGTACCTTTTCGTTCCGTCGTTACTACCACACTACCTTACTCCAATCTCCTCGTCATTGTTCTCTTTTTCTTTTGCGTTCCTTAGTTTTTTTTCCTCTTCTTTCTACTTCTCTTCGAATTCCCATTGTTTTGTGTGGCGCATATATATTGGCGCTCTATTGTACCAATATTTATGTGTTCAAATAAATAAATAAATAAAATACCTGTTTTATTGAGACGGAACACGCAAACGGTAGTCCAGCTAAGTTATATTAATTTGCTTTGAGATGGTGAAAATTCATAGGTCAAATTAATGGTCATTGTGGTTTCGTTCTCTGAACCAGGAGGCTGAATCACGAAGCTTTCATTTTTCTTCTTAACAACATCAGCTAAAGCTTCAGGTGGAAGCGGGCTATTCGATTTTTTTTACATGTGACTGAAAGTTTGTCCTGTCGATCATGATTGGTTGCTGTCGAACTGTATCCGGTCATTTTCTACACATACATAAAACCTATCAAGATGTAAGTCGATTTGATAAGCTATTAGTTCCATGAGGAAGAATTAGAAAAGTTCACTTTTATTTGAAGTTTTTATCGATCACATTGTTCAGAAAGACAGCACAAAGTTCACGATTTAGCCTTCTGGTTTGGCAAACGAAACTCCACCAAAAGTAATGTGTTCGTAAAACATGGTAACATATCAGTGGCATAATATTATTATTACTACTACTACTATGTTATTATTATTATTATTATTATTATTATTATTATTATTATTATTATTATTATTATTATTATTATTTAGTGTTCTTTTGTTTGCAAATGATAGCTTGTTATTATATCAATAGAAATAAACTAATCAGAAAATTAGTTTTCATAACTCTGACTTATTTAACCATATGATTTTAAGGATAGTAGATTTTCTACGTTAATTTGACTCAAAAACAATTGATTTTTGTGGCCATTTTGTTACATCTTATTTGATGATTGTAGGCATGGAAGATATTGGAGATCTATTTGATTTAGCTCTTCATATTGACTATATTATTTTAATTTTTTCTAGGTTATTATACGAGTTTCATCCAGACAGTTGAGTTGCTTTATCATTTAATCGACATATATTTTATTGCATAACTTAACAAAGGTTTTAGTTATCCTAACGTAGTTGTTGTTAGTCCGTTCATCTGTTCGTTTACGTTGGCGTATTATTTTAATCAATCTAGAAACAAATGAAGAAATTTATGAATTTCTGTGAATAAATAGTTAGTAAATGTTGATTGCTTAGTTATTAAAAAGATATTAAATGGTAATTGGATATTTGTAAACATTTCAACATGTTTAATTTAAACTGTTCTGTTCAACAGTCTACTCAATGCTTATTCCTAGTTATGATAGTTTAAATAGTCTTATTTTAGACACATTTAAATATCTAATCTGTATTTAATTAAAGCGATTGGTTATGAGTGTCATTTTACCAACAACAAGTTAATTGTAGATATTTTAAAAACTACTACTATTTGTTAGGGTGTTCCTTCAATCTTTCCTACAGACAAAACTATTTCTACCGATATTGGGTAACCACTTTAATGATTAATATAAATCACTAGTTTTATTTCTAAAATATTTGAAAGAACTATTTTCAAATTTATCAGTTTCCTTATCAATTAACAATTGATAATTATTAATCTTGTGTGTCTAACTTGCATTTTTAGTTTGATTTTAATCCATTTGTTTTCCTTTCTGGCGGTTGTGCTTGGCATATCCTAATAATGTGTTTCTTAATTATATGCTTAATTCCATGGATATATCTGTTTTACTTTCTCATCTAAATCGATTTTAGATCTCTTGAAGTTCGAGAACATCCATTTTTCAAAGGAATTGATTGGCAGCAGGTTTATCTGCAAAAGTACCCACCACCTTTAATTCCACCTCGGGGAGAAGTAAACGCTGCAGATGCTTTTGACATAGGCTCTTTTGATGAGGAAGATACTAAAGGTATTAAGGTAAGAGGTGTTCAATCAATGAATGTGAAGGTCAAAGTTTGGTTGAGAGGTTTCGTTTTTGATCATTAATTTTCACTTTGAAGCCACTCCAATGAGCGTTGACAGAGACAAAATATTTGTCGTAAAGCTCATAAACAGGTTATTTAAAACTAATGGGGATAGCGACGAAATGTGTGCTACTTTGTTGATATCTATCTCCCTTTAGTAATCTTATTATTGCAAAGAATTTTCGGTTAGTTATTTTGAAGCAATATTTATTCAACTTTACCATACAAAATACATCTTGATTGAGAAAATTGTTTATGTTCTAGTTATAACAAAGTTGATTGTCAGGGTGAATTATACTGGATCAGAACTTGATTTTTCTGATAGTTCTTAAAGGACATATTTTTATCAATTTCCTGCCTTGAATAGTTCGTTTATGTTATCGTTCACTTATTACCTGATATGGTAAGTAGACTTCATTGGCTGGAACATTGGTGATGAATGATATGAATTTTGTTTTTCAATTTTCTATGATATTCATTCATATTTTTAAGAAAGACAGTCATATTAGAAAAACACTGAAACGACACACTCATATTAGTTATATCTGTAGGTTATAGATGGTAACTTTTATGATATTTTATATTAACGTTTGTTTGGTAAATTATTCATTAATTAATATTTAGTACTGTTTAGTTTAATGCATACAAATCTGGCCATTAAACAGTGTAAATTTCATTTAAATTGAGGTGTGGGTTACATATATACACATAAGTAGTATATAACGGTGGTCAGGCATAGAATGTATTTCAATAGATCGATAAGGAAAGAACGGGAACGGAACGCAATTGGTATGAAAATGTATGAACAATGAAATCTCAGACAATGGACTGGTAGTTGCAAAAGGAACAGTCAAGTTTGAGACGTGGATTAATATTTTGCAAATTAACTATTTACTATATGGTTCTCAGATTTCAGTGAGATGCTCTGTAATTTTGTATCAAATGTATTCGGTTGTCCCTACTCGTGTTCTTTTTCACTACAAAACTAGTGTATTTCGATATTATTTCTACTTATTTTTAATCTCAAATAAATCTTCATCTACAGTTTTAGCGTTCTTACTTAATTTGTTTGGATTAACGGTTTTTCAATAGCAAATACCAAAATATTAAGCAATTCTATCACTCCATTGATTGTAAACATACTGTATCTGAAAGTTTATGTAACAAATCTCACTTTCTTCCTATTCTGTTTGCAGTGAAAATTTTAATACTACAATTCGTTTAAAAATGAAATAGATAGAAAAAAAATTTTGAAGATTAAACTGTTCTAAATAGTTTAGACTTAGTTTCAGATGATTATGATTTATTATCAGAATGTGTTTTGTGGAGATTTTTAGAAATTTTCACAGATTGAACTGATGAGTCAGTTGAAGCTAGACCACCATTGAAAACCTGGAAGCACTGGACGGCCGTTTCGTCCTAGTATGGGACTCCTCAGCAGTGCGCATCCACGACCCCGCACCACCCGGGGCTCGAACTCAGCACCTACTGGCTTCGCGCGCGAGCACTTAACCATTAGACCACTGAGCCGGTATCCAACGGTGTTAATGTCTAACTTCAACTGACTCATGAGTTCAATCTGTGAAAATTTCTAAAAATCTCCACAAAACACATTCTGATAATAATAATCACCTGCTCACTAGTGACTGACCTCAGGAGACACTTCAGGAGTTCTAGTGAGAAGTCGTTACCAGTGAAGTTCAACTAGGTCTGTTGTGAGATAGGAACTCACTGAAGACAATGGTGTACGGTAGCGCAACTTCGTGGATTGGTTGAAGTTAGACATTAACACCGTTGGGTGCCGGCTCAGTGGTCTAATGGTTAAGTGCTCGCGCGCGAAGCCAGTATGTCCTGGGTTCGAGCCCCGGGTGGTGCGGGGTCGTGGATGAGCACTGCTGAGGAGTCCCATACTAGGACGAAACGGCCGTCCAGTGCTCCCAGGTTTTCAATGGTGGTCTAGCTTCAACTGACTCATGAGTTCAATCTGTGAAGATTATGATTTAATCATTTTCAAAATATTTATTATATTTTTCACCAATGGTTATTAACAACTTACATATTTAAATAGAACGATTTCTAGTAATAGAAATAATGGTATATTTGGGATTTTAGAAACATATTATTATTGTTATTATTTTTGTTATTAACAATCTACCCATTGCTCAATTCATTCGAAATTACCAAGCCAGTAAACATTGGTAATGAATGTTATTTAAAAAAAAGACTATATCTGTTACATATTTTTCAAAATATGTAGCAAATGTTTCTGAAATTGCATTAAGATTTCGATTTTTTAAATTTAGTTTTATAAAATATTCTTAATTTTCTAAATAATTGAAATATTTAGCTCACAGAAGCTGATCAAGCATTGTATCAGAACTTTTCACTTGTTGTGTCTGAACGTTGGCAGTTAGAAATAGCTGAAACTGTGTTTGATTTTGTAAATCAAGAGGCAGATAAAGTAGATAATAAAAAAGCTCGTGCACGACAACGTTCTACACAAACTGCTGATGTTTCAAGTAGTGGCTTATCTGGAGTTACTTCAAGTACTGGAAATTTATTAAACATTGGGAATGTAGGAGTTTCAAATAGCGGATCGGGTGGAAATCTTTCTGACAATATGACTGTTGATGGGGTAGCCTCTGACTGCATTGTTGAGGGTGACGTTCTGAAACTTGGCGGACCATTTTTGCAAACATGGCAACGTAAACATCTGCGTTTATTTCCCAACCGTATTGAGATATACAACAAGTCTAGAGATGGTTTAATTCTCAAGAAAGGTGTTGATGTAAGTGTGGCTTACGTTTTAAGTTTGGCTAATTTTTTTCTTTATGTCAATGTATTTCAATTTTCTGTGTGCTCATATATCTACAACAGTCATTACCAATGCATTTTTAGCTTAAAATCTTTGAGCGAATGGCATTTTTGTTAGTTTTTCTACAGCAGGTGGCATGTTTATGATTATGCTTTTGATGTACGCTTTGTGGTTTTCCAATGTTTCATTTCATTTGGTTTGTTGGAAAGTATATGTTTTCAAAATATGCCTGGCTTAACCAGAAGATGCATATTGTATTATTAAACAATTAAGAATAACCTCTTTCTCATAACTGTTCCAATTTTTAAGATAAGTTGGTCAAGTGATTATTTTCATAGGTTAATAATGTTTATTTTACTCACAAATTATTAGGAAATGTTCTTTGACATAGGACTGGCAACTAAAGTGCTTTATAGTTCATGACAAATACCGGTTTTTAGGGCTCAAAATATTTATTTATTATGGGAATCCGTGATGGTGTATGATGATGAGTGTATTTGAGCTGTCTAAAGTCAAATCATAGTATCTAACTAAGAATCATAATTAGTTTTTCTGAGAACCATATTACTTACGGGAACATTTATATATTGTCAACCTCAAACTAATATGGAATGTGTACCTAAAGCATGAAGTGTCAAAATATTGGGAAGAGCAGTGATTTAGTAATTAATACACTCGGTTTTAAACCAGGGAGTTGTAGGTTCAAACCTCGACCCGGCTGTGTTGGTTTGGGTACTTAAATACTATCATCAGCTCACACACAGTCTAACTGAAGATTGATTACATACACCTGTGCATGATAAATGAGTTACACTAATTTGTGTTTTATATTATTTGCTACTGATGAATTGTTCAATACTTATTCATGATGATCCAGATCGCAGTCATGATATTTATTTAGTAATTTATATGTAAAAATATTAGTCTTAGGTAATTAACTTATCTTCGGAAGGAAGATAGTGTGGGGTTTCACATAACTTTTGATTTAACATTGGGTTGGTCAAACTTGGAGTTAGGTAGGTCTTTCTTCTTCGTTAGGTACCATAACACTCAGTTATTTTTGCTTACTCAATTTGTGCTTTTTCGTTTAAAAGAGTGGATAAATGTCATTCGAGTTTCGGACTTGAAAAAATGATTAAATTGTGTTGTTCTCTTGAAGGTTGCGTTGTTTAATTAATTCTGATTGTTCATAGGTTTATCATAGATTGATTCATGTTGAATTGGTTGTTTGAAATTTCTCACTGATGTTTAGGACTGCAAGTGATCATTCTCTTACTAGCACACGTACCAATACGAGACTGATTAATTTCATTCTTAAATGTGATTGATAAGATTCAGGCAACCAATATAAAATAGATTAAATTTCACTCCATTTTACAAGCTAGTGGTCATCTGGACTCAGTAGCTAAGTGGATAACGTCTAAAACGAAAGGTACTGGTTTCAAGTCCCGGATTGAACATCAGCTCTGGGAAGCAGGCAAACCCAGATGACGAATCCCAGACAGGACGAAACGCTGCATCTTGGATTCCACTTCTAGTCACCATTCATCTCTGTTTATCGCAGACTGTTTTTTTCGAATGATAATAGTTTAATGTATTTATGGATTCTCATCGTTGCTATACTTTAAGACACTGAATAATAACTAAAACGAGTAATAATAACAAATCATATTTTTTCTTTCCACCTGTCTTGTTAAATATTTTCTGTTTTAGCTTATATCAATGCTTGATATCAAAGAAATTTCTCCAGAGTTTTCTCGTGTGTGTAAAATGGATAATTGTATTTCAATTAAACTGAAAAATGATACGCGATTGTACATAACTTCAAATGTAAGCTTCATTTTTTCTCTGAGTTGTTTTTGTACATTTGACTGAAGATGCATAGTCAAATTTCTTAAGTATGCACTGACTCGTCATTGTTGTGCCATCCAGACTTTAAGTCAGTCAATCATTCAACGTAGGACTTGACACAAATGTACATTACTCCAAACTGGTGCTTCATTTCATCACAATCAAATGGAGTTAACTAAATGAAAATCAAAAGACTTTGGATGGTAGTAATGTCAATTATACTGAGAAAGAATGAACGTGGAGACACGGTTGGAAAATAAGCAACGAATTCATAATGTGAAAGTGTAACAAAATCTTCTGGGAAGATAAATAGTAGATGCACATACTCCACTGTAGTCTTCTAAACCGTATTACCAACTATTTCCAAGCTGTAATCGCGGTTATCGCACCGACCCCATCGAAGTAGTTTGCGCTTATTACCGTACTACTCAAATCAGCAGTTAATAACTTCATGAATTGAACTTGAAGGAATCACAGTTTGAGCTTTTTGATGTCTTCCATGTGTTTTTTCTCGATGTTTAAGCCACAAATATATAATCGGTTAAGATACTTTTTGTACTTTCGTTTGGATATCTACCATTTTGTTTTTATTTATTTACATCAGTTGAAATATTTCTCATAGAATGTATGACTTTGTCTAACAAAATATTGTCAACAACTTGTTTTGCAGGATATTCACAAATCTTGCAGTTCACCTGGACATATTTTACATCCGTAGTTTTGTATTATGCATGATTTCTCTATTGAGAACCATTCAATTAGATATCTAGGTGTCGTCAGAGTAAACCATTATCTGAAAAGCTCAGATTTGTGGACCACATTATTCGAAATGACTGAAGATGAGCTCCATATGCGTTTTGTAAAGGATTCTTGTTGCTGTAGGGAATCACGTATGACATTGTGTATACATATTTCTGCAGGTGCTTTCACTTTGCTAAATACCTTAGTTAACGTTTTATCTTATATGTACTATAATTACTAGTAGTATGAGGATTTTTTTGTTATTTCAGGACAAAATCATGATTACACAATGGAAAGAAGAAATATTAGAAGGCTATCGAATTTCCTGTGAATTGATGGCACATATGAACAAAAAAGCCCATAAAATGTATGGTGTTCTCGATCCTATGTCCAACACGGACACTCATCCTCCTTCTACTACTGTTATAACGTCATCTATTTTAACTGTTACTACTAGCGGTTCTGTACAGCCTCTCACTTCTACAAGTCGTCCATCACAGAAGTCACACTCACCTCCACAAAGTTCTACACATCCCCGTCCTCGCCTAAGTCATCAGGCATCAATGCCTTCCTATCCACTCACAAACCATAGGGGTCAAGGGTCATCTTTAGATTCAGTCACAGGTTCCAAGTCTGGTGATCAAGCTGTTGAGACAGATGTAAATCAAGATATTAATCCACCAGATGGTGGTGTTGGTAGTGATTTCAATAATAATAAGTCATCTTAAATTTCTACTGGTCATTTTAATTTGTGTTTATTATTATTAGAGTATAGTTATTGACTCACTAACAGTCTTGATGCTAGTCATCTATCTACAGTTTATGAAAGATTTGGAGGATGGCAGCTTTCTAATTGAAAATTGCATTCCATTTAAGCTTCGAGATGGTCGTTATAATCCCCGTGTGTTTATAGTAATTGTATCAAATTATATTGTACGAGATAGTTGTTCAACCTCCATTTCTAATGTCATACTGTATACATTTTTGTTCATTCTTGCTTTTAATTAGAAGCATGAAATTCCGTTTACTCTGTCTGTACTTAAGTTTGGAATAGTCCCATTTCTGATGATAATATAAACCTGAATTCTGTGGTTTAATCATGTCAAGAAAATATTATGCTCATTTATTTTGTGTATAAAGTTATTGTGTATTACACTGTGTTATGTCGACTTTTCTGAACGATCCTGTTTATTCATATTATTAGTTGTTTTTAATTAGTTTTGAGATTCATAGAATCTAATTATTCATTATTTCCTCGATTTGCCCCTCTTCATATTCTTTATGTGCAATATATGATTGATTAATTCGTTTTTTTAAAAATTTTTCTAATTTTTTTGTGGTTTTTTGTTTCATCTTTGTCTGTTTGTTCCGCATCTCAGTGACTGCGCCGGAAGTTTGTTTCCTCTCACTCAAAGAGTGTTTTTTACTTGATTCGTCAAGTCTAAATCTGGTTAATAAACTGTTATTTTTTAACTTCTTATCATTTCAGTTATATTATTACTGTTGTTGTGTATGGCATCTGTTAATCTACATGATTTGTTATTATTACATAAGATCATACAGAGACATTGAATGTGTTATTAGTTATCTGATTGCGTTAACATTATCACTATAACTACGATTTTCAATATTATTACCTTTGTAAGTTTCAGTTAGAGTTGTTTTTGTTATTATAATCATCTTTGTACACTCGTTCATTTATCCTATACTTTTTAATTGACATGTAATTTCCTTAACGTAATACTGGTTACATTGATTGCATTATAATAAAGCTTATCTAATTTTTAAGAAATAAGGAGAGAAAAAGGATTTCGATTGTCTGACTATTACATTATACTTGACTTTTTCACTTCAATTATATTTGAAAATGTTTGCATTTTAAGAATGTATGTTGGTTGTATTTTTGTTAAAAATGTACATGTCAGCATACTTGTCATGTTATATTGTGCAATGTTTATGGTGGTTAGCAATAGAAATAGGTAGTGTTTGCACTATTTGTTAGTGGATAAAATTTGTAATAAATATAGAATAGTTATGATTAGGGCATGGTAGAATGAAGAACACATGGATTTCTTTTCTTTTCAACTCATGTATATATTTTACTTTGCGCATACCTATTTACCTACCAGGCATGCACTTAGATACAGTTACAAATCCACACATTTATACACATACAAATGGAAATAAATAATGGTTTTACTTCACTTTACTTGTTTGTTTTCTTCACTTCTTAGCCACATAATATACATTTTGCATTTCTTTTCTCCTAACTTGGTTAGTTTTTGCATTTATTGTATCCCCTTCTTTCTTGTGTTCACTATACTTATTATTAATTTGTTGTTCTGTCATTGTCCAGTTTTGTTCTCTCTCTAGATATTGGCAACTAACATACATTTTTTAAAATTCATTTTTGAAATACGTGTATACATAGCCCAAATTATTCCTGTTTCTTTTTTAAAATCATAGATTATTATTACCAGTCTTGTTATTACTACAATTACTATTACTGTCTGTTCTATTTATCTTTTCCTCAATTAGCAAAAGTCATGGTTTAGTGTTTCTTAATATTGTGTTGATAATAAAGTATGAATTAATATAGTAACAACAGAACTCATTGTGTTAAGTAAATGTGATGAATTTTATTTTTACTCTTATAGATAATGATGATGTAAAATTGATTTGACAAGTTATAGACATAATCATTTCTATCTGTATTTATAATAATTGAATTTTTATTTTGTTTGTGATTGAATTACATAAATGAATGAAAGAATAAGTAAGATTGCATTGAATTCATTGTTTTAATTGTTTTCGTTGTTGTGTTGCAGTTGTACTTGTTGATTTACTTTTCAATTCACCTTCTTTTTGTCTTGTTTAAGTTTCTCAGTTGTTTATAAAATATATAAGAGTATAGAAGAGTAAATAACGAAATGAAGCAATATCTTGATTCTTATTGAGTTAGTTATATGTTAAATATTAATCATTTGTTTTACTGCACTTATTCTAAAATTTCTCTTATTTACATACTTTTAAAATGATATTATAGAATATTAGATTACTTTATGACAATCATGTTTATATGATTATGAATTTGTGAAATATAAATAACAGTCGATTTTTTGTGTCTGTGTATATCATTACAGTTTCTTAATCAGTATACTTTCTATTTTTCTTAGGTTCTTATTTTAAGTTATATTAATATGTCTTCATGATGTTAATTTTAATTCACTAACATGTGTGAAAATAATGGTTCGTAAAGAAAATGGATTTAAAGTAAATCACTTGATGAGATGTTCAATGATGAAAACATCTTAGCGTACATATGGAAGACGATCTTACTCAATATATTTATTTAACTGTAATATCGTTATTTTTCCTCGATTAAACTATATTGATTAGATTGGTACATGCATGCAGATTGAGTTCTTGTGCTTGAATTAAATTTATTATGTTATCTCACTGATAAATAGTAACCTGTTCGTTTGAAAATATCAGTATTTCTAGTTCTTAAGAACGCATAAATCACCTTAAATTCCCGTAAAATATTTTCCTTGATCTCTCTCAAGAAATATTAGATGTTTAGCCATCACTCTAAATACACTGACAGTTTTTGATTCAGCTTCTCGACTGAGGTATAAAAAGACGAAATAAATAAAATACTTCATCCTGGTTCACAGTTGCCAGTATAAACTTTTGCACATTTGGTTTCATTTGCATGGTTCATAAGTTGGATCGGGAAATTGGTGTAATATTTATTTACTGCATATAAATTCAGATAGTTTTGAGTATTAAGAGTACACTACACAAATAAACGATATTTCAAAGAAATAAGGTTGCAAAGAGTTGTACAGTTAGTAAGGAAATAAACACTTCACGAAAGACTTGAGCCATTTAAGGAAGCTTATCTTACTTGTGTGAAAACAGTAATAAGAAATTACTGTAGGATTGCCACTGACACCTGATAACTGAATAGTACAAACATTAGTACATAAAACAAGGAGTTGTGTTAGAATTCGGTAGTATAATAGAAAAAATTGGAACTAAAAATCGAAAAATATACTGTCAATTAACTACTAAAACAGTCTAATTATGGAGAACACTGTAATGAAAGTGAAATTAAAAGAAATTACCAATTTCTAAATAAATACCTTGGTTCATGTAATTATAAACCAAATGTAGGTTCTATACGTTTTATCGTTTAGGTCATAGAGGAGACCTAAACAGATCTCACAGCTGGGATTGAACACATGGTTTCTCAACAACTGGTGAGACATTTGTCACAGATTTAGAACTGGTACTGAGGAAGATAAAATTTGTGATTGGCGAGTGTAGTTTTGCAAGAGCTCTTCCTTCGGTTTAATTAAAGGCTGTGAAAATAATCGAGATTTCATTTATCATCACTCTTCATCCTCAAATTTCATAAGTTCCTTAAAGTTTTCTTCCGATAGTGGTGTCGGTTTCTTTGGATTTCTAGGTTGACGATTCCAGAAAAGCGAAAACTTATTTTTGTTGTTTTAAATTCCGTAAGGGTTATCTGCACCTACGTGTTTATCAGAGCTGTTCGACCAATCACAAGTGTAATGGTTTCGTAAATCCTGAGAAATACATTTGCTACTTAGTCATAAACACTAGGTGTTTATAAACTCATGCGTTACGCAAATATATCACATAATTCTGACAACCTTCGTTTTCTCATTACATTATCGAACTTTATTAAAGGAACTAATTGTTTTAAAAACAATCTAATATGTCTCAGTGCTATCCGAAATCCATATATATATATATTAAAATCTAACATAGTGTCAGAAATTCTGTATTGTGTGCTAGCTTCGAAATATGTTATTTGCAAGTGTGTTGTTCTAATTATCTACAACTTGAACCGATGTGCACATTTGACAGATTATACGTTGTATTTGACTGACTGTAATTTCGTCCATCACTTTGTTTAAACTTCCAAGTTGTCTTATTATTTTATAGGAAATAAAATTCAATTATATGACAGTCTTATGTTTCGATTTATCCTATGGTTATAATGTCCATTATAGCATTGAACCGAATCTAATCATAATGTTTACTTGTTTGTTTACACAAGTTACTCGCATTGTGTCATCATATTGATATAAATTATTTTTCATTTTGTCATATAAACCATTTCAAAGATTAAATCGCTCTTTGCATATATCAAATTTATGAATTATTTACAATATTTGTTGAATAAACGTATTCTTGAAACGTATTTTCAGGATGGGTATTAATTTATATCACCGACTGGAAGCAACTTTAAATTACTGCATAAAGGATCTCTGAATAACTATTGTTTCATTAAATATTTACAATTCAGTTGTGCACATGACCTAGCTAAGAATCAGACGTAGTACTTTTAGATTTTGCCAAGAGAACAACACAACAATTTTGCAGCTGAAATCCACTGGGAATTCAGTCATCAATGATTTAATAAAAGACAAGTGATCTTTAAGTGAGATTTCAATGAACCCATACATGTAACAATTGAGAGAGGTAAACAAAGGCCATATGGTTAATGAATGATTAATATATGACTCAGGTGAACCAAGGAAATAATTAAAAACTACTTTAAAATGGCACAGCACACTTATGGTCGAAATATTACTTACTAAGTTGGTTTTGTGAGTCTCTCAAACCCTTCTAAGGGAATTTTCATCAACTAACATGGAAAAGGTTTGTTGATAATTTAAAACCGGTTTAAATG